CCCATTATATTGGGCACTGACTTTGATGGTAGGCCCAAGGTGTCCAAAATGATGACAGCATAGGCACTTTCCACTGCAGGGATCAAGTTGTTAGCAGTGCTGCAGAAGCTTCCTACTGGTGATCCCAGGAACGGTATTGGGAATGGGAGCAGGAACGGGAATGGTACCAGTCGCTGCATGATGCAAAGGACTGCGCTTCCAACTCCAAGGTATACTTGACCATGCTGAACAGTGCTGAGGAGTGGCACCAAAGGGATGGAGAGTGCTGCTGCTGCAGAGTCGGTTTTCCTTGGTACCATAGGATAACTGGTGCCAGCTTGAGGCTCCGAGGCTATGGTGCCAGGGTGACTGCTGCATGACGTATGGGGCCAGGGCTGGGGCAGAGCACATTGGCCTATGGTCAGTGCCAGGTTCAGTGCCGAGGCACGGACTGCATCAAAGTCTGTGCTGCAGGCTCCATCATTTCACAAGGTCAGAAAGTGTCCTCAGAAGTGTCCAGTGTATAAGGGAGGTCCAGGTCCTCCTTGTAGACTTCCCACCCAGTGGAGTCCAACAACACTGGACTCAATGGCCCTGCCCTTGGGGCCAGAGTTGGCAATGCTGGCTGCACTGTACTGTCCTGAGATTGCTCCAGGCTGGGGCACACTGACAGAGGGTGACTACTGGTCTTCTTGTCCAGAGACTGGCTTCTGCTAGGCCTTGTCTTCTCATACAGCACCGGAGATGGAGAGTGCTGAGGAGCAGAGGAGCTTGTCTTGTGTGCGAGGGAATGGGTGCCAGTGCTCTTTTGGGTCTTCCTTACGAAGTGCCGATGTGTCCCATATTGAAGCTGGTGCACTGTACATGGAGGCCAGCATGCTACACACCAAATATGACAACATCGGGTCCAGCACTGGGGGTCGAACTGCCGTCTCCACTAACAAGAGTTTGAAGTGCTGATCTCACTTTCTCTTAGTTTTAGGCATGAAACTGTGGCAGATATTACACTAGTCTGTTAAGTATTCTTCACCAAAACACCTGAGGCAATGCAATGTGCAGGCAGATCCCTTTTAGGCATAGGCTTGCTACAAGTGATGCAGTTCTTAAACACCCCTGCTGCATACTGGGAAGCGGGGGAGGGAGAGAGGAAAAAGAAACAAAAATGAACAAAAAGTGGAAGGGGACCCCCACAGAAACTATAAACCAATGCCAGATGCCCCAGAGGGAGAGAACACAACAGGTAATCATCACATGATCCCTCTCCTGTAAGCCATTTCCAGACAAACAGAGGCAAGGGACACCATTCCTACCCATACTGGCTAATAGCCATTTATGGACCTAACCTCCATGAACTTATCTAGCTCTTTTTTAAACCCCGTTAAAGTCCTAGTCTTCACCACATCCTCTGGCAAGTAGTTCCACAGGTTGACTATGTGCTGCACGAAGAAAAACTTCCTTTTGTTTATTTTAAACCTGCTGCCTATTAATTTCATTTGGTGACCCCTAGTTCTTATATTATGCGAACAAGTTACAGTAAAACTCCATTGGTCCAGCATCCAATGCTCCAGCACTCCTGATGGCGCAGCACCATCAGGAACCCGGAAGTGCTGGGGCAGCTGGACAATTGCAGCTGCTCTGCGCCCGGCTTCCCCAATTCAGCCGCTGCTGAAACTGACCAGCAGCTGAATTGGGGAAGCTGGGGCAGAGCAGCTGGGGTGCTGCCGGGTTGGGTCTCGTAGCGCTGCCCCTCGGGGCTGCGGGACCAACCCGGTAGCACCCCAGCTGCTCTTGGGGACGCCTGGAGCAGAGCAGTTGAAGTGCTGCCGGGTTGGTCCTGCAGCACCAAAGGACGGATCTGCGGGGCCCACCTGGCCG